TACAAACTTTATCTCAAATGTTCTGTTTGCAGAAGCCTATGAAGAGCAAATGAGGGAATTGGAATTTTTGGTGAAAATGTTTTCTCTAATAACACTGACAATCTTCTTTTTGCCTTATCCTGGACATGATGAGAAAAGTGAGCCTTTGTTGAGATTCCCTTTGAGTGGAAGATAAACTCATACCCAAAGGCACTGTGACTGCCCTCCTAGCCCCCGACCAATGAGCACAGTAATGATCACAGTAGTAGCAACTACAGACAGAACTGAAGCTTGACTATTTTAAAAGTAGCAGTTATTTCCCATTGGAGTATTCAGAAGATACTTTAGTAATTTCTATTTTTATTTATTTGTTTGTTTTTAAGGAAACTAGGTGGCGGTGTAAACAAATGTCACGCGTGCAAGAAGCCCGAGTATTGTTATATGAAACTTCTGTTTGTGTTATATGAATGTGAGCGGGAGACAGATGATGTAAATCCTCTCCCCTTCCCCCATCGTGGGCGGCTTACAGTCTAAACTAAGAAGCCACTGATTTCATTTACTCACTTCATTGGTGAGGAGACGCTCAGTCACTAAAAAATGCCTGATAGTAGCAAGCAGAGGGCTTGGGTTTGGTTCCTGTCATCTATGTGGCAGCTAACAACTCCAGGAGCTCCAGTCCCAGGGGATCCAATGTCCTTTTCCAGCTCCTAGGACACCAGACACACATACACATAAAACGAAAATTTAAAGATTTAAAAAAGTGTGGTCTCGGTGGCACATTCCTGTAACTCCAGCAGAAGCGGGTGGAGCTCTGTGAGTTTGAGGCCAGCCTGGTCTTCAGAACGAGTCCAGGACAGCCAAGGCTACACAGGGAAACCCTGTCTCGAAAAATCAACAAAAAATTTAAAAGCAAACAGACATGTCCCAGCAACGGAGACAAATTAATTAAACCAAACAAAGAATATCAGAGGAACAGTTTGACCGTTGGAACAAAATTGAGTGAGATAGGATAGGAAGAACAGGAGTGATCGTGCAGTGAGATAAGGAAGTATTTCACAGGGCAGTGTGCTCTTGTGGCCTCCTGATAGAGCCTCTCATCTTTTCTCACACTTACTTGATCTTGCAGAGGATTCTGTGATCCTAGGGAGGTGCTGGTCCTGTTTCAGGAAGTCTGGGTGGGGCCCAAGATTCTACAGTTTCCAGGTTGTGCCAATCTTCCAGTCCAAGAACCACATTGGAACATCTAGTAATATGCTAGGAGCTGTGCTTATTTTTTCCAGACCTCTCTGTGCCCCAGGAGTCTATGGGAAACCCTTTACTGTCATATTTTATGCATAGATATGAACCATAGATAATGTTTAAGCGAACATGTTTGAGGCCTGTCTTGAGACAGGAGTATAAGCATTTGGAATCCATTAGCCAGAGATTAATGGGTGTGTGTATCTATTCAAAAGGTAGGGACTCATTAATTGTAAATGTGCTAATCTTATCGCTGGAATGTGTTTCTCAGTTTGTGTAATCAATATTGATGAGCAAGAAAGAAAAATGTCTTCTCAGAAATGTACTTGCTTAAAGGTTAAGAGCTGTATTGTCAGGAAAATGTTTAATTCAGTTGTCTGGACTCATAAACATCACACACAGATTAGCTTGACAGGGTACAATAAATTGAATCCCCTCCCTCCTGGCTTTCCACACTCCCCAGGCAAGGTTTATTATAAATTATTTTCCTTTTTAATCCAAGTTATGTAAGAGTACATGTCAAGAGCAAAGCAAGGACGCTTCTTTTTGGGTAGGCAAACACTCTAATAAATAACCTTCAAAGTATTTAAACACAAAGCAGTGGGAGATGGAACCACTGAAGTTTTTCTGTTGAAAGCTTTCAAGTCTGGGAGACAAAAAAGAAAGAAAGAGAGAGAGAGAGAGAGGGAAAGAAAGAAAGAAAAGAGGGAGGGAGGGAAGGAAGGAAGGTTGGTTTTCACCTGTTACAGCCCCAAGGGATGAAGATCCAGCTATTTATAGGAAAGGTTGTGGCAACATTTTATTTTAGTTGGAAGATTTGTTACAATTCTAGGTTTAAATTGGCTCATAATTATGTGGCTACAGGTCAAAAGAACAAGACTGTTTTCTTCTGAAATGTACACTTTTATTAATCGTTTTTTTAAAATGTGTTTTGTTTTACCATGAGATAAATTAGTTTTAAATGCTCAGTCCTATTACATTTCTTTCAAAGTTTGTGTCCAGAGTTTCACCTCCCACCCTTATTGGTACATGCCATTTTCTTCAGTAGTCAGTTTTCCATTGGAGGTTATAATAAATTACATTCTGACTGTCTTGGCAGGGAAAAGACCCTCACTTCAGCCACCAGACTGTAAATCAGTGAATTCCACAGAATTAAAAATCCCCCAGGACATCCCCGAAGATGAAGGCAAAGGCTGAGGATCTGGTACCGTGGAGGAGGGTGTTGCCTCCCAGAAAGGGATTTCCCACAGTTCTGATCACCACACAGAACAGGGCAGGAAGCCAGTGGTAGGTAGGACCACACCATAACCAAGGCTGATGGATTGTGTACATCTCCTGCCTTCTGTTCAAAACTAAACCTCACATCAGGACCCTGAAGATGGGCTTGGGGGTTGGGTCGGGAACACCATGATTTGTTTTTCCCAAGGTTGGCCACCCTGAATAAGTCTTCCTCTGCTTTCCATTATTGCTTTTGTCCAGCCATTGGTTGGCATACTTGGGACAGATAGACAGGCCTAGCTTGCTGGAGCTGCCAGAGCCCAAGCCTTTGTCTGGAAACATCCAGTAAGATTACCACAGAACCAAGAGTGTAAACAACATAGAGACTGTCTTGTTGCTCCAGGTGTGGAAGTAACGCTAGAATCAAGGCACCGTTTTTGGTTTCTGTAGGAAAGAAACACAGCAATATTGTAATAATATGTTTTCGGTTTAATCGCAGGTGTAGGGGGACATAGCAGCTGACTATGGTTTACCTCGTGCTCTGACAGAGGCGTGATTTTGCCAGTTGCGGGTAGTTTCTGTGATCATATGACGTTTGGAAATCTGGGGACTTTTCAGAAGATATATAAATGCAATAGGGTGTTTGCTGGTTGGTGGTTAGCTGCTGTCGGTCACAGTTTGTTAAGCAGTCGTGCACAAAGAAACTAGAAGTAATTAGATAGTCTGACGGCAAAGATCAAACTTGACACCCTTAATCAGCAAGGTCTAATGATAACATCGCCCCTCCCCCATCCTTTTTTAGAGGGTTGGAAGGGCGGAAGAAAGGGATGGAGAAGGGTGGGAGAGAAAAAAACTCTCAAAGTGGCACATGCCGGCTACAGCACTGTCTGGGCCACGTTCCCACCTGCTTCTAAGCACCCCTCATTTTCTTCCCTTTGCGCCTGCATCCCTCACTGGGATCCCTTCCCCTGCCCTCAAATGCCTATGGCTAATCAATTCTTTGGCCTCCCCATTCCACTGTTACTATACACTGATTTGCTGAGAATCCTTGACTCTTCTCACAGGGTAACTAAGCAGATGAAAGGCTTGCTTCTTTGTCTGCCTTCCTTTTTCATCTGCCTCTTCAACTTTGCTTACTTCTGCACTTAAGGAGAGTGTTTAAATTCCAAGGATACTGAAACTATCTCACTTGAGGCTGAAAGGCCTAAAGAGAAAAGTAAAAGGCACCTCGATGTCAGCTTTTACAGCATCTGCTCCAGAGCCCCGCCCCATTCCCCCACCCAAAGTGGCTGGAAGTCTGTAGCGACTGTCCAGAATCTGCACTGAGTTCTAGGAACAGCAGAGATCTGTTCATCACATGGTTGAAATCACACCCAAGCAGGAGCAATCATTTCTTGAGAACTGGCTTGGACCGCCAAGCAATCGTGACTTCTTTCAGCCACCTTGCACAACGAAAAGGGAGATAATGATCAACCAAAGCAAGCTTTGGCAAAGACCAGCTTAATCTCTGTGACTCTTACCCACATCCCATTCTAGTTCTCCCTCTTTTGAAACTTAAAGCTCGTGTCGGTACTCCAAAGGTTCTTGGCCCCATTTCTCTGTACTTTCCAATACATAGGAACTCTGTGTTCTCTGCCGTTGACCACTAATCTTACCTTTGATTGGTACACTGTAGTGAAAGGCTAAGTCTAGTCTATCCAGGACTCCCACTGCTGGGCCCTTGGTCCTCAAGCTGGTAACATTACTGCCTCCTATGAGTAGATTGCACCAATCGAAATAATTCAGGATAACCTATTTGAAGCCCAGCTGAAAAGTAACTGCCATTCTTCTTTGCCATGCAACATAGCATATCCACATGTTCCAGTGTTTAGAATGTGGAGGAGTGTGTGTGTGTGTGTGTGTGTGTGTGTGTGTGTGTGTGTGTGTATTTGTGTGTGTAAAAGGACCATTATCCCTCTTACCAAAGTATGTTTTATCATCTTGCAATTTCCTAAAAGAGGGCTGTTACTTTTTGGGTTGCAGGTATTTGCATAACATCATTTCCTCTCAGTTACATTCTATATAAATTAAATTATAGATTGTACTTGTCATGGCAAAAATAATATATATATATATACTACCGTTCTCACAAAGCTGAGTATGGCTCTTTCATATTTGTATTGATTCCTACATATTCTCTCTCTCTCTCTTTCAAATGTCTTGGAGGTTTTGATTGTAAAACCCACCACCGTTTCCAGTCATGAGTTTTGTATTGTTTGAAGGTATAACTGCCCAGTAGAGCTAAGTGGGCCCTTTCGTGATGTAAATTATTGAGGTGAATGAAGGCTGTTGGCTTGGCTTGCCACCGTGTCCCTCAAATAGGCCAGTGCTGCTTCCCCATCGGACATGAGGCAGTGTCTGCAGGTGCGTCTTTCGGTTGTCACATTTGGGAGGAGAATGCTGTTGCTGTCGGGGGAACAACTGTCCTGCTCTGTATACAACGGCCTGAAGAACAAAGGAGAGATGTGGAGACAGAGTGGTGGGTTGAGCTTTCGGTTCTTACTGCCATTTTATCATCGTTGCAGGAGTCCCTGGCGCCATGCCAAATGCATCCTGGATGGGTAACCTCAGGGCTGTGAAGTGGATGGATATGGAAGACAAGCACGGAGGATGCCATGGTAAGGTGTCCCCGCTCTGAGGCCGCACTGCCCAATGCTGCTGGCATGAGGACCATTAAAATCTTAGTAAAGTGGGTTCTTGTGCAGAGAAAACAGGAGTAGCCAGACCGATCTGCTCCTTATTAGAGAAGGCTGAAGCTACTACATACAGAAGCTCTGAGTCCAGTGGTGACGTATCATATGAGTGAGGCTTAGTGAGTGACACATCAAAGATGGAGGTCACGCACACATAGACTTTTGTAAGAAATCAGAGAAGGGGCAACACAAAACAGAAGGACCTCTCACCCCTGCACTTCCAGAACTTATCTGTAACTCTCGTCTGCTCGGGCATGGATGGCTTTGGGGCACCGTTTTCTTTGTTATTGTTGTTGTTGCTGTTTGTTTCTTCTTTGTTTTAGTTTTTTTTTTTTTTATTACTTGCACTGCCTGCATGTATGCGTACATATCAGAAGAGGGCAACAGATTTTATTATAGATGGTTATGAGCCACCATGTGGTTGCTGGGAATTGAACTCAGGACCTTTGGAAGAGCGGACAGCGCTCTTAACCTCTGACCCATCTCTTCAGCCCATTCTTTTTTGTGTTTTTTTGTTTGCAAGACAGGGTTTCTTGGCTGTCCTGGACTCACTTTGTAAACCATGCTTGCCTTGAACTCACAGAGTTTAGCCTGCCTCTGCGTCCCAGAGTGCTGGGATCACAGGTGTGTGCCACCGAGCCCGGCTGCGGCACTGTTTTCCTGTGTCGTTAATGCTCCTCCTATTCAAGTGTGTGTTTGTCCTAAACAGTTGAAGCCTCCGTGGACTAGGGCAGCCCAGTCATGTTTCACTGGTGTCTCATCACACTGGCTTGGTTTCCATGTCTCCTGTTCACCACGTCTGACATTCTGTTTCTCTGCCCTCTCCCCGACAGGTCACTATGTACATGGAATCTGCATCTATGGAAACGGAGACTTAAAGTGGCTAATTAACTCGCAAAGCCTATTTGCTAACAAATTTGAACTCAACACGTACCCTCTTACTGTGGAATGCCTGGAGCTGAGGCATCGAGAAAGGACACTAAATCAGAGCGAAACTGCCATTGAGCCCAGCTGGTATTTTTGATCCGAGCAGCCTGGCCTGAAGGGAAATTGAAGGCGTTAAGAAGAGCCTTCTTCTCCAAGGACTCTTGCCTTAGCCATGCTAAAGGCTTCAAAAAACTGGTTTTAGGATGTGCCTACCCGGCTATGCTTAAAATATGGCTGGGTACAGCTGTCCTGGCATTTTAGCCAGTCTGGCCATTTCTTTTGAATGTCTTTTCTTTTCTCCTCCCTCTCATCCTCTCCCTCCCCTCTTCTCTCTCTGATCTCTCTCTCTCTCTCTCTCTCTCTCTCTCTCTGTAAGATAGGTAGGGTCTTGCTATGAATCCCTGGCCTGGTTCTTGTCAGGTAGCCCAAGATGGCCTTGAACTCTCATCAATCCTTCCACCCTGATCCCCCGAGTGCTGCTATTACAAGTGTGTACAGCCACACCTGGCTCCAATGCCTGGCAGCCACTTGATGCTCATCTTCATCCTAGTCCACTCCAGTGGTCAATTACACATTTAAATGCACCTGTTAGAAGGTAGGTAACACCGTTTAAGAAAATCAGAACTTGGTTTATTTGAGAAGGAAGCTTTCATACCATCTCCCTAGCAACTGTGTACTCAGCCACACACGGGCATAGAGACAGACTTCTGGGAACTCACCAATCTATTTAATCACGAACTGACCTTGGAGAGCTGAGGAACTGTATAGTTAGTTCATTGTCCACGCATTTGACCGACGTTTGTGCAGACTTGGGCTCCATCTCCAGCATCATAAACGGGTCTTGCGAACACTGACGTTTTCAGTTTACTTGTGTCTGAAGCGCTGCGCACGGTACAGAGCCAGTAACCAGCGATCGACCGCATGCGCCGTAAGACAGGAAGTGGCTGCAGGAAGAGGGCCTCAGGGATGCCAGACATTTCCGTGTCCTGTTGCAGGACGTTCTCGCTCCCACCGAGAACGCTGAAACGTCCTGACAGGAATGAAGGACTTCTTTCTTTCCCACAGGAAAGGTGCTATTGTGTGGGTCTGGAACCTGCGAATGACTCACTTCTGGGGTTCCGTTTCCATGTGAGAGCTGGGGGACCCACTTCTGTTGCACACGGCTTCAACCACACCGGGACGGCCTCCGAGTAGCTCGCAGCCATCGGTGCCCACGAGAGCCCCGCGTGGTAGGTGGACACCCGTGTCCCTTTCCACTCGTTCTCTCGGTCATTCGTTCAGCCTGCCATCAGCAACCGCCTCTGGGAGGTCTGTGATCCTCCAGACACGTGCTCACCGGCACACAAGGGCAACAAGACAGATGCTTTCTCCACGGTGAAAGTCTTGGGGACTGGAATCAACTTTTGAAATCCTGCTCTGGGGTCTTACAGAATGACTACACCTCACACGTACCCTGGCCTAACTATATATTACATCAGGCCATAGTGATCAGTAATTTATTAATAGATTCATCCAGAGATGGGGGGGGGCAGGGGGACGACAAAAGCTAAAGCCTGTTGTGCCCCCTCCGGCTCCTCCTTGTCTCGTTTTATTCAGAACTTGGTCCCCACCTCCCCCTTCCCCACCCCCGGTTACTTCATCGCTCAGATGATGTAACAAGCCTTAGGATGGTTTATGATTGTTAGGAAGCAAATTCTATGGATTTGGGTTGCCTTTCTGCTCCTTTCAGCTCATTTCCTTAGGGCTGTGGAGAGAAGGTGGAGTTTAAGAATGGTCTCAGTGTCAATATTGAGAAAAAGTTCTGTCAGGATTTAATGGGGGGGGGGGGGTCCATGCTTCCATGCCTGACAACTGGGTTCAATTCCTGGAACCCACATGATGGAGGGAGAGAGTCCACTCCCAAAAGTGACTCCCCAACCCCCACACGTGTCGCATTGGTCACCCCACCCACCAAACACACACACACACAGATGGATAAGTGCAGTTTATTAAATGTGATTATCCTTACTAGCCCCGTTGTGTTTATAAATCCTTACTTGTTCTAGTGGAAACAACAACATCACACTTGCTTTAAATGATGTCACTTACCACAATTTCATTATTGTGCTGTAATTGTACCTGCTGAATGTTAATCATCTTTAAAGGGAATCACTTTCATGTAAAACTGTTTTTGTTTTTGTTTTTTTATCCTACTGAAAGATAAAATGGGGTTGAATCGGGTAGTAAAGGGGCCGAAAGGTAGGATGCGCCAGGTGAAGGCAAAGTCTAAGCCGGGTCTCTCGTTCGATTGTCATGTGATGATAGCACCTGAAGAGAAATGTTTTACACTGGATCTCTCATGGAAAATGAGAACTTATTCTGGAGTAGAAGTTTACATGCCCATTGCTGGTCACCTCTGTATTATAAAGACTTTAATATGGGAAGAGAATAGCAGTTTAGCTAGTGAGCTAGCGCTGAAGGTACCCTCACCTACTGTATCCGTTTTTGGTTTCGATGATGTTTTCTGGTTTTGTTTTCTTGGAAATAAATTAATATATTGTTTTCCACCTTCTGGGATAGTGTGCGTGTTTGTTTGATACCTGGATAATAATGCACTAAAGAACACGTTCAATGGTGCAGTTCCCCCCCCCCAGCTTTAAAAAGGACAAAAGAAACATTTACACATGAGTAGTTGTCTAAAATTATCAATCCACTAAAATAATAACTGACCTATCCCTTTCTCAGGTAAGGAGAGAGCAATTGAGAACAACAGGATAAATAGAAAATTCGTTTTCTTTATGCATTTGTGTGTGTACTGATTGTATGTATGTTTGTACGTATGTACGTATATAAATGTCTTTCATGGAACTTTGAGGTTGCCATTTGGGCTAAACTGGTTGGCTGGTGAGCCCCAGGATCCACCTGTCTCCACTTCTCCCTGGCATTACAGGCATGGGCCCCTCCCATCCCTGGCTTTCACATGGATGCTGGGAATCCAAAACTCAGGTACTCAGGTTTGCAGAGCAAGCTTTTTACCAGGCATAAGTTATCTTAGAATTTTCTGCTGCGTTAGTCTGGCTTTCTGCCAGTCACTCTGATCAAATGCTCAAGGAGAGCAGCTTAGTGGAAGAAGGATTTGTTTAGGGTTACGGTTTTCAGGGGTGTCGGTTTAGCATGGTGGGCGAGGCACGGCAGAGCATCTGGGAAACAGAAAAGGGGTTCAGGGGGAGGCTAGAACAAGAACTCACTCCCAACCCACCTCCTGTTCATAAAGCTTTGCATCTTTTCCAGCTACTTGCAAAGACCACTGTTTCTTGCCTGAAGTGGTATGTTTGCTGCAGACAGACAGACAGACAAAATCCTGCTTCATCCAACCCATCACAAGTGAGTGGTTTCCCAGAAGCATCAGGTTGTCTAGCAACACAGGATGCGAGTGATTCCAAGTCATCCAATGCCTTTGGTATTTGTCACATGTCAAATGTGATACTTGAGTCAAGTCAAATGGGATCTCTCCTCGTCACTGCTAAGTTTTTTAAAATGCCAGGTCCTTTCTATCCTAGTTGGAGAGAGGAAGCAAAAATTCTGAATTATGCCGACGAAGAAGTTTCTGACGGTAGTGCTAAAAAGCTGCAAGGACAGTGTGGTGGCAAGGGAGTCACAGCCGTGGGGTGGGGGCTTCGTTAGATGAGGCTGCCACGAAGGCCTGCCTGGTGGGATGTTTTGCACTGCAAACTCCTTGGAGCATAGCCGGTTTCAGAGCTTGAGCAGGGAAGGCCTCAGATGATCCTGGGACATGCTGTTGCGGCATGTGGTACTAGAGTCCTAAAGGGGTGACAGACATCTGTCACAGGTTCAGGAGTCACCTTGAACCCTCCTACTACATCAGAATTACGATAGTACTTTTGTAGCCCAGTAACTAAATCAGAATCCAAGCATGCATAATGTATGCACATGTGTACATATATGTAAATGCATATATAAAGTATACACATGTTATTAAAATGTGTAAGTGGTTATTATTGGCTTGAAGGGGGTTCCTGCTCTTGCTTGGCTCCTAATACCACCTGACAAAGTCATGGTTCTCTCACCCAAGGCTGAGCACATGGACTCCCTGACAGTCTACAGAGTAAATGTTTGGATCTCTATGAGTCACGTGGCTTCTGTTGGGATTATTCACTTCTGCTGTTGGACCCATAGACAATGTATAAGCACGGGCTGAGTGCTAATAAAGCTGTCTCTGTAGGGTGGCTGCAGAGTGAGTTCCTGCTCTTCATGTTCCTTCTGCAATGCCTGCCAAGCCCAAAGAGGGTGAAAGAGAAATCCCTTAGGTGTGAATTGCCTGCTGATGGGAATGCTTTAGTGTCAACCTACCTGCAGTCCCCCAGCCAGGAGGAGAGAGTGAGAAACACACAGGAAGACATGCAGCTATACTTTGGTTGTCTTTAAGGCATGAATAAGGAGGTGTGCGCTTTATCCAAATGAGCAAGGAGAGCTAGGTAAAGCTGGCAGGGTAAGAGAGGTTATGGAGTGAGCTGGAGCTGCTGCTGGGAAATCTCCCAGAGAAAAGGTGGGACCAAGACTGCAGGGTAGGGACAACTTTAACGTTTATATGTCTTGTGTTGAAGCTGTTGGGAAACTAAGTACAGGTTGTAATAGCTCACCAGTCTGAGAGCTGTTTACTGAGCGCTTTTGGCTATACAGGCAGAGTCAATGAATTATACACATCAGCCAGGCATGGAGGTACACAGTATGAAGGCTGTGAATGTGAGGCTTGTCTAAACTAAAGACTAAGACTCTGTCAGAAAAAAATAATAAAGAGGGAGGGGAAAGCATGGAAGTTGGGGCTGGGGTGGGGTGTGGATGGCTGAGAACATGTCTCAGCCAGTAAAGGGCTTGTGATGCAGGCCTCAGGACGTTAGTTTGGGCCAGAACTTGCTACAGATGACAGAGATAACAAGAGTAAACTAGACAGCCAAATGTCCAAAAGATGACTAAGTTAGTGTTCCTTCCATAAGCCAGACGTCATCCAGAGTCACTTGTTCTCACAGCAGCTCATTAGAGGACACAGGAAAGACTGAGAAAGGCTACGGACGAAGGGGAACTTGCCCCCACAGAAGTGCATTTCAGCTCTCCAGAGGTTAGAATGGGGACACCTAATCTACCCCGAGAAGATTTTGGAACTGAACACCCAACATTCTTAACATGTGAGGAACCCGTCATGTCAGCCCTCCAGAATCTACAAAAAAGCATCTTCTAAATCTCCAGCAGGTGATGGGAACTGTGCTTGGAACCTGTGGAAACCAAGTGGAGCAAGGAGAATGAGTAATGCCATCAGTTACTCATGACAAGAATGTGCTAAGGCTCAAGTGCCAGGGTCTATGCTGGGGTAACAGCCCCCACCCCAAGACAAAGGCTGGCCTGATGAAACAGATAACAGAAGCTGGAAGGACCCTCACATTTAAAGTGTTGGGGATGATAAGCCAGACCGGAAATGGCAGGAATTTATCCAAGCAGGCTGACAGAGTGAAACGTTTGCCCAGAAAGAAGGAGAAGCCATGGAGAAATAGGTCGCGATGATGACTAACAACAGAAAGTGGAAATGAGAGATAATTGGGGACCTATCACCCTCCCCTTTCACCAGCAGACAGACAGGTGTGGGGCGGGGCCAGTGACCAGCCTCAGTAACAGCCTGCATGAGGATGGGCTGACCAAGAGATGCTGAACGAGAAATTAACAGTATCACAGAACAGTGGGATAGCCTGGGATCTAAGCACAGGAATGGCCAGGTCGCAAAAGTGAGACTCAGAGAGCAACAAAATCTGGAGGCTTCTAAAGTGGTGTGTTTTAGGGATTTTACTTTTTAAACTTTTTTTTTCAGTCTTACTTTAGGGACAGTTTAGCAGTTAACAGCACTGACTGCTCTTCCAATCCCTGGCTCAATTCCCAGCACCCATTGGTGGCTAACACTCAACTCTAAGTCCAGTTCCAGACTGAATCCAGTGCTCTCCTCTGGCCTCTGTGGGGATGGCACGCTCATGGTGCACACTCACACAAGCAGCCAAACACCCAAACAATATTAAAATAAAATAAAATTTATTATTGTGTGTGTATGTGCACACATGGAGGTTGGAGGACAATTTGGTGGGTTTTATTCTCTCTTTCCAGATTTATGTGGGTTCCACAGATAAAATTCAGATCTCTAAGCTTGCACGGTACGCGCCTTTACCCAGTCAGGCCATCTGACTAGCCCAGGAATTTTAACTCTCCAAGGATCCCACCCTGCGCTTTTCCTGCCTTATTTAGTTGCTACACCCTGCACTTTTCCTGCCTTATTTAGTTGCTACTTGCATGTTCTAATCCTCTCGTTGATCTGTTGCTGTGCTCTGCCTGATGAAGCAAGACCTGCTTTAATCTTCTTCTTCCCTTTAAGGTTTGTCCTCTGAGGGTCGTGGGTGCGGAGACATTAAGGAGCTGCCCACCCTGCCCTCCCTGTGTTTCACTACACCGTGTCTTTAGCAGCATTCTTTGACACCAGTGTCATTTGACATTATTTGACATCCATTTGGATTTACCTGAGATCTCCCTCTTCAGTCATTTGCAATTAACATGTAGTAAGGAAACAAAGCCTCGCCCATAGTTTGAACAGAAAATTTTTTGTTTTGTTTTTTGTTGTTGTTGTTGTTTTGTTGAGACAGGGGTGTTCTGGGGTTTCATTGCTGTGAAGAAACCACAGGACCATGGCACCTCTTGTAAAGAAAAATAGTTAATTGAAGCTGGCTTACAGTTTCAGAGGTTTAGTCCATTACTGTCATGGGGAGAAGCATGACAGCGTGCAGGCAGACATGGTATTGGAGACAGAGCTGGCAGTTCTACATCTCGATCCACAGGGAGCAGAAAGAACTGCCACACTGGGCCTAGCTGAAGCATAGATCTCAAACCCCACCTGCAAAGTTTGCTGGGAAGGCATCTGCAAGGCTCCCCACATGAAATGATGGCAAACCCTTCAGCAGGGTGACAGAAACCCTTCTGTGAGGATCATTTTCTCTCAGGAGGTACTTTCTGGGATGCCCACGCAATTTGCCAAAGTCAAGCAATATTGGGTGCCCTTCAGGCTCACTTGAGTGTCCAAGGGACACTTCCCAGAAGCCACCTGCAGGGCATCACTGAAAATCACTGGCCATCTGCCCTCCTGCATACCGTCAAGTTTAGCTGAGAAGAACATCAGCTCTCCGCCACCAGACTCAGAAAGCAAATGCCTACGATGACCAAGAAGGAAGCCACTTCCTCTTGCCGGAGCCCTCGTCTCCCTTTGCTGATGAAACTCTCTGTGAGCTGGCAAAGGAGAAGTGTTTCGAGGGCTCAGCTCCGTAGCGGAAGGAGATTCACATTAGAGCTGAAAGGGAAGAAACTTCCTGGCACTGTCCGCCCCCATGCTCTTGTTTTTCCATTTCTGTCTGTGCATTCCTGTCAGCTTCCCCAGAACACCGCAGCACTCTTTCCACCCACCATGCCCCCTAAAGTAAAATCAGTCTCTCCAGACTGGAAGATGGGTTGCCCTACAGTCAGCAGATG